AGGGCGATTGGGCTGCCAGTGGCCACTGTAATATTGATTGATGGTGGGCATAACTGTTGAGCAATGCTCCAGATCAGCTAATAGCAAAATGCAATTGCAGTAGCTGGGTTTCAACCAGTAGAGGGAGGTAGCTATGAATATTTATAGAACAATAAATAGAATTAAAATACTTTTTCACAAAAACATTTGGACCTGAATCAATTAACAACACTACTTAATACCCATATACATAGGTTTTGGGGTTTAGTGACTTTTTAAGTTAGCTAAACACCAGCTAACTAGGTAACTTTTAAATGATTGTTGTAAATTAGCTTGCTATTTAGCTGACGTTTTGCTTACATTAGCTTTGAGATGTAGCTAGTTAGCTAGTATTTTCAACATAGACGAGCCTAGCACATCTAAGTACAGGAAGCTGGCACAGGTTCAAAAAGGGGTGGGACTTTGGAAGGGTCAATTGCTCCTGACTTACTCTAACACTGTCTAATGAAAGAATTAATGAGATTGTAACATCGGAAACCTTGTATGTCTGAAATAACTTCTACCATTTTGCAGCTCCGTAACAAAATCAGGGAGCATATCTTTTAGCATCCTGGGTTTCAGCTTCAAACCTTTGTTGCATTGCTTCCCTTCATCATCTTCCTGCATCTTTCCAATGTGGCTATAATAATGCTTACAATGACAATGGCATAGAACCATTACAGCGGAGGTGCACATGACAAGAAGCAAAAGTTATTCATTTGGGAACGATAAACAAAGTGTTGTAATGTTGCCGCTGCCAGGCTATCAAGAAGACAAATCCATGGGAAAATGCCCCCAAATAAACCTTAACACAACTTCTTTTTTGTCATTTTGGTTTATTTTGGATTTTAGAACCAATCTGTAGCTATGTGGTACAATTCATTAAGAAATCTTTAAAAGTAAAATAAAATTCTTCATCTGCGGTTCTGTAATGGCAGGAAGAATGTAGAAGTGGCAGGCTCAGCTGGGAAATGTCACGTGAGGACTTCATGTAGCTAATTTGTCAGGAAATTTGGAAGCATACTGAGAGCTGATTCGCATGAGCCAAATTTGGGTTTATTACTTCCTGTGTACACAGATTTCCTGCCAGTGATCCTGCAAATTCCAGAGAATGATTGGAGCAAATAAGGTAAATCCGCAGAATGTGTTAGTGGGGATGCTACACCAATATGTGTTGCAGAGCTAATTTTGGATAGGGGCTAGTAAATGGCCTGAAATTAAAAAAGAGACTCTTGGTTCGTGCAGCTTTAATAGTTCTGGTCCAGCATGTGTTTCTGTCATGCCTAATAATGTTTCAAATCAGTCCTTGTGCTCCAAATTTCTCCATAATCAGTGAGATTTTTGACACAAGCTGTTCCCACTCTCAGTCCCAAGACAAACAGGGATGTGTGTTTCTTTCCCACCATATGTGTCGCCCTTATAGGCTTGATGCTCCACAGTGGAGTAGTGAGATCCAACCTCCTCACCCTCCTCAGGGGAGGAAGTCAGCGTAGCTAGAACACCAGCAGCCTGACAAAATTCAGAGAAATCTGCAGCCTTGGATAGACTGACAGAGCGGCTTTTCTCTCGTCTTTCTCTGCCAGGGCATTGTAAAGAGAGATGAGATTGTGTTCAGGGCTGCGAGGCGACGGGGCATCCCCATACTCATGGTGACGTCCGGGGGATACCAGAAGAAAACAGCCCGCATCATCGCCGACTCAATCCTCAACTTGCAGCAGCAGGGCCTGATTGGAGCAGAGGCTTTGGAGGGGGAGGGGTCGTCATCGCTGGTGACCAGCATGATGTGCAGCTCTGGATCTGTTGGATCCAGATTCACTGCTGTCTGAGCCACATTAACCCGCAGGTTAACACTCACAGGTTTGTCATCTACAGCTGTGACATTCAAAGGCACTCAAGCAACTTTATATTGACTGTGTGACAGCTGTGATGACATTGTAAGCTTACTGCTGTCACACAGAAATGTGTTTGAAATGTATGACAGGGGCGTTACCTAATGCTTGTTTGCACATATACAACACAAAAAAGTGTTTGTGCTTTGGTAAATTTTTACATTTTTTATGTGTAAGTTGGCAGTTACTCAAAGGGAATAATCACTAAAAGAGAAAAATGGTAGTGAAACAATAGCGCTCTCCTGACTACAGCTGATTTCATAAGCTCTCACACGCCACAAAAAGAGTTGTTTAAATTTTCATTAGTAAGAGAATGGTGGGTTTTATGTTTAATGTATGTCCGGGGCAGCGTTTTAGAGAGGTATTCTTTCATCTCAGGAAATGTAATAATGTAATTTGTGAAAGATATGATATATTAATAGTTCATGAAATCATAAAGAGGTTTGATGTTCTTACAGATACATGGTAACTATGTTAACTATCCTCCAGCTCGGTTTATGCTTATGGCGGTGATCATTTCTAACTATCACATATAATCTAATGGTGATGTTTAACCTTCTTACGGAAGATAACATAGTATCCATTCCATAAAATTTAGTTTGTTAATTTCTCATATAAATTTGTGTTTTTCTCTAGATAATAATATAATCATTATAGAGCTAATTGTTGTTCATTCATCAACTTCAGCCACTGATGACTGTTTTTAGTAGTTAGCAGTTAATGTTTACAGGGAGGCCAATATGTTTTTACTGTGGATACTAAAGTGTTTTGTCTTTTGAACAAATTTGAAACACTAACTAACATGTGACTGTGAGCACTTTAACTGGCGTATGGTGAAAGAAAGTTGAGCATTCCCAAACTCCTGAAAATCAATGTTCTTGTTGCAGTGTGCCCCCTTGGTCGACACATCAAAGTCCAAAAGCTATAAAGCGTTCAGTGATTAATGAGCCGGGCTGTACAGTGGAGCTTTACTCCTGATTGGTTTGCTCTGGTCAGACATACATAACTCCTCTAATGATGTTTACACATACAGTAGTTGTGTAAAAGGAGGCAAAATAGATCTTTAAAAAGAATGGATCTGTATGATCAATGCAGCAGCTGGAATGTCACGCAGCTTCCAAAAGACACTAAAGACTCTCCATCAAACACAGACAGAATACTAACTGAGTTCTGTACAGGTGTGTGTTTGCGTGTGTGTAATGTTAAATAAGCAATTTGAATTTCTGCCTAAAGTGAAGTGTTAGTGCGCCCTTTCTGTACTCGTACATGAAATACTCATATTGCTGCTTCATGCTAATGCAAAGCTTCAAAAGGTAACTAACTAGCATGCTTGTGGTTTGAAATTCAAGTTTAATGTTTGAATATTTTCATCAAAGGATTATTCTGGTCTAATAATGATGCTGTAGTTACCAAGTGTTGAGATCTGGGAATATGGCGACATCGCTAAGAGAAAAGTCCTATGAGCAGAAAATTAATTGGTAACTATTTTGATAATCATGATTCCAATAAAAAAAGTAATTTTTCATGTAAAAACATTTCATGGTTCCAGCTTCACAAATTTGAGGATTTGCTGCTTTTCTTTTTTAAAAATATAGGACAGTTGAAGATAGACAGGAGTCTGTATTTAAAAAAAATTTCAGAAAACTGGTTAATAACTTAAAATTTTCAGTTGCAACTATTTAATATTCAAGCGCCCAAATAATAAAAACTCTGATTCACAGCTCACTGTGAACTATTTAATGCTATATCTATTCAAAAAAGTTTTCAGCGCCAACAGTAGAATCCTGCTTTTACATGAAAGCATGAGTCATAATAATCTAATGGTATAATAGTACCACGGTCACAGACACATTTATCTTTATTTAATATTTCAACAACATCCTGATGATACTTTTACCAACATAACCTTTTCAATGCAGGACTTGGACTAGAGTATTTTTACAGGCAGAGTCTAATTCCCTGCTGCTGTTGTTGTTTGAAGTTCTGATTCAGCATTTTCTGAGTGAAATCGTGTCAATTTCTGACCCCAGAATCTGTCTTGCAAGGCGACATAATTGAATTTTAGGGTTGCACCATATGGGTTTTGTTTTCAGTCGATACAATAACTGATTGTTACAACACACAAAACACATTTGGCTGGACAGTCAAAAAACTTTGAAGCCATTTCTCTATTTCATTGTTAGTGTAGTTCCCGCATTCAGCCTTTGGGGGGCAGTGTAGTTTATGCACACTTGATGGCAAGAAAGGCTGAGATGTAGTAAGCGTCAATGGATGATGTAATATTGTATAGCTCTGACTGAACCAAATCTAACTGACAGCACTGTTGTTTACACAACCAAAACCAACAACAGTTCTGCCTCTTTAAATGTTTCATCAAAAAGACTTTCATAGAACATCGTCAGAATAAATTATCAACCGATAATTTATCAGTTATAATTTAAGTATTGGGATAATTCATATGAATATAAATTTCCCATAATCGGCGTTTAATTATTGTACATCCCTAGTGAGTTTTAAAGGCACATTCTTCTCTGTCTGTGCCCTACTTTGTGATGAAGGTTCAGTAACAGACATTAAATTAGCCATGCTAATTGACTTCCAGGCAACAACCTGGGGGAGCACAGTCGTCGAAGAGGGATAGATAGATAGATAGATAGTTGCACACATGTTCACTCCTGGGAATTGCACAGCACACCAAGATATGTACTGATATCACAGATTTGATACATCCTGCAGTGCTGAATAAGTGTTTGGAAAGAATCTGGCAAGACAAACACCCAAATTAGAAGAGATGTTAATGTAACTGTGAATGTGGCCACATAGTGTAGATAATAAAACCACATCCTCTGCGCACTTTGTCTGCCACTGCATTAGATGTGTTTTTTTTGCAGCCGAGCAGACCTGAAGTGGCAGCTGGCAGGTGCTGCTGCTGCTGCAATGATTATCTAATGTATTTTCACATTCATTATCTTTCACTGCTCTGGCTTCACTCTGCTGTTTAAAAAAAACGTTGCAAAAGTTAGCAGTGGAGTACAGACTCATGATCATTTAAAGGATTAAAAGGCATGTCTTTGAACAGCATGGAAAGCAGCGTTGCGGTGCTTATCCATGAAGCTGTTTGGACACATTCATAATGAAATGTGAACGGCGGGCAATATTAGCAGTGTCAGTGCTAATTAGCTAAAGCTTTTGATCTGGTGTGCTGCTTGTGAATGTGGCTGAAAGGTTTAGTGCAATCTACCTTTAATTAGGACTCGGAATATATGAATTATTGCCTGTCCTTAATACCCAATGCGATCCCAGATCCCAGCTCATCAGCTCCTTTCTGTGTCGGCCAGTGCTTTAATCGTTTGATTGAATGTTGTGTGCCAAAAATAACACCGAAGTCTTCAAAGCTGTACTGTATGTTTTTTGGGTGTGTTTGCGGTTTGTGCTGACATTGAGAATTACTACTATGCATTCATAATGATATTGAATAAATCCATAACAACCAAATGGTCTGTTTTGTAATTTTTAAAAAATCTTTTAATTGCTTTTACTGCCCATGCTAAAGTATAGTATGTTTGGAAACTCTACTTAATGCTGCTGCTATGTAGCACTGCTTGTCCCATCTGGGTGTTCCTTAAACCCTGCCCCATATGATGTAATAAAGTTGTGCCTTAGTGACTCAGTAAGAAAACATTGAAGTAAAGCCCCTTATGTCATGTAGTTTCCCTGATGCACTGTTTTAGCTCATTTTCTTACCTAGCCTATAGGTGGTTCAGTGGATCGGTCTGAGTCTTGGGTGGAATTATTAAAGGCTCTGCCTGACCACGCCTGTGTTTTCTTTTGGTCTAAATAGACCTCTGCTCAAACTGAAGTTGGGCAGCATTATGCTTGGAATTATAAGCCCCAAACTCAGTGGGCCTCATGCAAGAACATTTTTGTATTCTT